TGCTATATCCCCAGCCCTATTGTTATGCTTTATAGTCAATCCATGCTACCTGAAAAATTCATTTTAATCTGTTCAACCTTTATTTTGTATTTAGATGGTGAGTCATCCACAAGTCATCTTTAGCCAGTAAAGGGAACATTTTTATATCTTTACTACTCCTCCCATTGAGAGGTAGAGTCTTCTTGAATCTGGGCTGGCCTTGACCAACAGAATGTGACAGAAGTAATACCCAGCAACTTCTGAGGCTAGGTCAGACGGAGCGAACAGCTTCCACCTGGGATCCATCTTGCAGACTTGAACTGCCAAGTAAGAAGGCTGGCTGCTCTGAGGCTGCATGTTGTAAGAAAACCCAAGGCTTTGTGGAGAAAAATGCAGGTCCAGAGTTTCAGTCCTCACCTGGCAGTCTGTACATTGAGGAGCAGAGTAATCTGCCAAAATTGTAAGTTAGTGATTATCATAAATTATTTGTCTCAAAGCCTTCATGTTTTGAATGTGTGTGTGTGTGTGTGTGTGTGTGTGTGTGTATGTGTATGTTTTGTAGCAATAGAGAAATGGAACAGAGACAAACAGTGAGCCAACAAACAATATGAAATAGAAGTGGATAGAAATAGACTAAGGAATAGAGAAGATGAGTTAGAAAGATTGCAGTTAAAGGCTTAAATTGTTTATTTATATATTTATTTATTGGTACTGGGGATTGAAACTAGGGTGCTTTTAATTTAATTTAATGTTTTTGTTTTTATTTTATTTTATTTTTGGTACTGGTATTGAACCTAGAGGCCCTCTACCACTGAGCAATGCCTCTGGCCCACTTAATTTTGAGATAGAGTCTTGCTAAGTTGCCCAGGCTGGCTGGCTTTGAACTTGTGATTATCCAGCCCCAGCCTCCTGAATTTTTGGAATTGCTGGTCAGTGGCACCACACTCATCATGAGGGCTAAAATTTTAGACAAGAAGGTGAGGAAGTCTCATTGTTTTTTTACTAGGTAGAGGGTCATGGGAGGTCCTCCAAAAGGAAGTTGGATCTCAACTCAGGCTGTGATTTTCCTTGTCATTGGCACAACAAGGACTTTAGGTCTGGGTCAAATTGAGGCACAGGCTAATGTAGGCATGGCATGGGTCTGGATTTGAAGCTAGGCCTGGCTGTGCTGGTCTTGCTGCTGCTGCTGCTGCTTCCATGGTTGTATGGGCACTGGAACCATCAGCCTGGGTCTGGCCCTGGCTGGCATGCTCACTGGTGCCTCTACTGCCTTTTCACCTAGTGCTAAGGCCAAAAGTGGAGCCTCAGCCTGGAGGCACTGCAGAAGGATCTGGATAACAAGCTTTTTGGATAGCATCTTGTGCAGAAAGTCATCTTAAACAATTCCTAAGCAATCCGAGGCCCAAGAAACCTCTCATGCCCTCCCTGCATGGGTGGACAGGCATGGGCAAGAATTTTATCAGCAAGATCATCTTGGAGAATATTTACGAGGGCAGTCTGAACAGTGACTATGTTCACCTGTTTGTGGCCATATTGCATTTCCTTCATGCCTCAAATATCACCCTGTATAAGGATCAGTTACAGTGTGGATTCAAGGCAACGAGAACTCCTGTGTGAGGTTCATCTTCATCTTCGATGAGATGGACAAGATGCACTCTAGCCTCATAGATGCCATCAAGTCTATTCTGGACTATCACCACATGGTGGATGAGGTCTCCTACCAGAAAGCCATCTTCCTATTCCTCAGGTGAGCAATGCTGGAGCACAGAGGATCACAGGGAAGAATTCACGCTCAAGGACATGGAGCATGCCTTGTCCATAGTAGTCTTCAGTAAATGGAACAGTGGTTTCTGGCACAGCAGTTTAATTGACCAAAACCTAATTGATTATTTTGTCCTCTTCCTCCTCCTGGAATACAAACATCTGAAAATGTGCATCAGGGTTGAGATGCAAACCAAGGGTTAGAGATTGATGAGGACATTATAAACAGAGAGTGGCTGAAGAGATGACATTTTTTTCCCCAAGGAAGAGAGTTCGCTGACAAGGGCTACTGATTAACCCAGCCTAATACCATTTTAAGATTGTTTTATTATAAATTACTGCAATTTCTAAACTTGCTTGGAATGCCTACTCATGCCTTGAACTCACCCATGCCTAGCTTTTCTTGACCAGATAACAACCCTCTACACACACACACCAAAACAAAACAAAACAAAAAACATGAAGGCTTTGAGACAAATAATTTATGACAATCACCAACTTGCAATTTTGGCAGAGATTACTCTGCTCCCTACTGTACATAAGGGTATAGGCGCCTCATAAATTCTGGTGTTGGGATCTAAATTTACTCTCTAACTTGGAATGTTGAACCATCTAGACCATTAACCTACTATCTGCCTTTGTATTATGCTTGTTAAAATCCTGTTATCTGTAAATTCTCAAGACACTCCCCCTTTTGCAACTTTTTGTGTTGCAACTTTTTGCAATTTTTTGAGGCACAGGCTAGTAGGCTCAGCAGGGGTCTGGATTTGAAGCTAGGCCTGGCTGTGCTGGCCTGCTGGGGCTGCTTCCATGCTTCTCTTCCTAGAGAGCTGGGGTACTGATCTCTAGCCAAGGGTTTTCAGGAGAGACAATCCTGGCCAGAATTACAAACTTGCTTTAATTTGATTTAAAATTGGAGTCGGTGGTCTTTTCTTTGTGTCATGGTTTAACACTTTTATAAGACAGTGTTCACCAAGTTGCATTATTATCTTGATGACTGATGCCCAAGTCATTGCTTTGAGAGAAACTCAATGCTCAGTTTGACCAGCTCCTTTCTTGGGAAGAGAAATCAAATGGATGTTTCCAATTAATGTTTCCTGTTGGATGTATCAGGAATTCTCCTGGGTCTTGTTCCCATTCCTGGGAGGCCACACCACCACACCTTACAGGCCCTGGACATGGAGAGGAAGATTTCAAGCCTTCAGAGGAGGAAGTAACAGCTCCCAGTTCACCCATTCCAGAGCTCATGATTAAAAAAAAAAAAAAATGTTTTAATTTTATGTATTTCTGTTTCAAGGAAAGACAAGTTTTACTGAAAATCTGATAATTTTATTTAAGATGTTTTTTAACATTATGAGAAACTTTTCAGATTCAAAAAGAAAGAAATTGAGGCACAGATTGATTTTACTAAGAAGAGAATCTACACCTACCAAGTGCCATTTGTAATCAAGTATGACTAAGAGACAAGGTAGAATATGGGTGTTTAGAGAGGACCGCACTAGCTACATCTTAGGTAGGCATATTTATATGTGTAAAATCTATAGAAGAAACATGATCTAAGGGTATTTTTAGTTCTCCTTTGTGTTGGTAGATGAACATATTAACTGTTACCTACTGAGGTAGGAAAATAACTGAGACAGGCGGATAGGAAACTTGGGCCCCTCCAGAGTCAGGTTTTTCTGTGTAATGAGACTGAGAGACCACAGACACAAGCCAGGACTCATCAAAGTCAGGCCAATTCTTGTGTAAGTAGAAAAACTACAAGTGCCTACACCCCAAAAAAAGCTCAGTAAGTGAGTCAGGAGTTCATGGACACTGAATGCCTTATCCAGGATTGGGTAAGGGGCTAATTTCCTTAACCCTGTACACTCATATAAACCCCCAGACAACAGATATCTTCCCCTGTAGGAGTTCTGATTTCTTTCTTTGTGTTACTCTAATAAATCCTGTTACTTTTCTCTCACCCTTGTGTCTGTGGATTTCATTCTTCAAATTCACTAGATAAAGAACCCACACAATCCCATACTCTAACACTAGGGATAATTTTTTTCTTTGTTTTAAAAAAAAATCCCTAATCATTTCCCCACTAGGGGTTTTATTGTACTGTTTTGTAAATAGTACTACAGTGATGTAGTGTTGAGGGTTTGATTTGGAGTATGACATAGATAATCAGATCCTAAGTTGGGCAAAGGCATTCTCTGACCTTCTTTTCTTTTGGGTCCATGTCAGGAAAGAAGTTATTTATGGACCTGCAGATAAAGTCTAATAATTGATTTGATAGTGCCATTTGTAATCAAGTATGTGAAAGTAACCTTTAAATCTGGACTTTAATCCATGTGAGTGTAGAATTTTAGATCAGGACTTTAAATCATGGCCACTTTTGTTTTGTCCTACATACTTCCTTTCTACCTAACTTTATATCTTCTGTTTCTCTGCTCTATGTGCTAGTTTCTCTTTGCCCATCAACAACACATAGAATTGCAAAAAGCCAGTCCAAAATGGCAGTCTTACCTTCAAAGTGTACAGGTTCTAGGACTGCCAACTCCTTAGAATCTCTTAGTTACAAATTTATGGGAATCTGAAAGTAATTGGCCCAACTTTTGTGGAGAATAACGAAAATGCACATAAGGGTATATCCCTGAGGAGGGCTATGATTCCTAAAAAAGGAGAAAAAAACAAGTTCCCCTGAAGAACCCTTCTTCATACCACTGTGACTCACAGGAGAGTATTTTAGAGACGGGAAAGGGGGTGATCCCCCTTCTGTTCACTATAAGGGATCATGGCCCACACCACTATACCAAAGTAGGTTTACAAGAGAAAAAAAAACACATAACGAATCTACTTTATGAAAACAGTTTTATGTGACATGGGAGTGGAATCGATGAGGGCTACACAAGAGTTGGAACTGAGACCAAGAAGAGAGGGCTTTTGTTAAGACAGTTGGGGCAGAAATCAAAATGGGGATGCGATGATGTGGAGAAGCAGAAAGCTAGGCGGTGCAAGGAAGGAGGTGGGAGGGACGCGGGTGCTCCAGGAGTTGGAATACCGTCTAGGTTCCTGCTTCGTAGGTCAAGTAAGACACTGACTGTAGAGGATCCATCTCAGAGACTGCCACATATGAAGGTACTGTTTATTATTTTCACCTAAGAAGAAGCTTCGAAGGGACCTGATATGAGCCCACACCGCATCTCCCGGAACCCCTGCTTCACACCCCACTGGGACCAACTGCGCTAGAGCGCGGGGAGGACCGGAAGTGAGGGCGGAAGTGGAGTCGGGGACGCTTTAGGGAAAGTACCCGCGGAGTAAACAGACGGTGTTGACAAGCAGTGGACGGTGTAGGCAGCTTTAGGCCGCCATGAACCGGCTGCAGGATGACTACGACCCCTACGCGGTTGAAGAGCCTAGCGACGAGGAGCCAGCTTTGAGCAGGTGGGCCCCCGACCCACCATAGTCCCCTAAGATTTCGGGCTGAGGCTCAGCCTTTGAGCGCCTCCATTTGCTGCGCCTCCCTGGCTTGTGCCGACTGTCGGCCAGAGGCTCGGGGTCCCTAGCACCCCACTACGGTGTGGGAGGCCAACGGGGGCTCCTGGTGGGGTCGCGCAGCCCTTGGGGAGGTGGGCCAGACGTCAGCGCCAGGGCTCTTCCGGAGTCACTGGGGGCCAAACGTAATCTGTAAAGACCGTGAGATTGAATTCTGCTTCTACATTTTGCAAGCAGCGTGACCCAAGGCAAGTCACTTTTCCTCAGTTTTACATCTATAAAAAAGGAAATATAATAAGTATGGAGATATATCGTAAGTGTATTGTGATGGTCACAGGACTTCATGTGAAGTGCCTTTTTTGATCACCCAGAGCCGCGATCACACTTGCCTGGTTAAGTCCTCTGCCGCTGAGCTACAGCCCCAATCTCTGAAGTGTCTATCTAAAAGACTGACCTGTGAAACAGAAATAAGGGAATATTGAACAGGCAATTTTACTACTGTATGTTTGTTGTGGGCTACAGAGATAAATCACTAAAAGCCTTGGTTTTCAAAGGCTTACATTATATAGGGTTCATAAGATAAAGCATATATTTTGGAAGAGCATTTTAGAAAATGGTGGACTGAAATAGACCCAGATGAAGTTCCATGGGAATTTCCAGAAGAGAGGATTTATCCAACATGAGGAAAATTTGTAGTTATATTATCAAGAGATTTCCTGTCAAATTTAGCTGTTTCTGTAGCTGTCAGTGGGTCGTATTCATAAACTTTAAAAAGTTAATTCTGTCTGATGAAGCTTTCTGTGAAGTACTTCAGTGGTTCACAATGTTTCCTCACTGTTCTGGGGAACAGTTGTGGACATGGAAGATCAGATTGCTGAAAGGATTTCTGTGGTGAAGAAGAGTGAGAATGAATACTAAGATTCCCTGTGAAAAAGTTTCAGTTAATAGGTATTGTCTGTGAAAGGAGCTACATTACTTAGTAATTCAGTTTGATTGGAATATAGCAGTGTTTCCTGGATTTGAGTTATTCTGTTATCATCTCCATGTACACCTGTGTTGTTATTGACTTAATATTTTTCTTAAGGTCAATTACTTTTTTTTAATGTTTATTTTTTAATTATAGGTGGACACAATGTCTTTATTTTAATTTATGTGGTGCTGAGGATGGAACCCAGTGCCTCATACATGCTAGGCTAGCGCTGTACCTCTGAGCCACAATCCCAGCCCAGTCAATTACATTTTTATAGTTAAATTTCTTTGTACCCTGCCCCATTGTGGATTGAACCTAGGGGTTCTCTGCTACTGAGCCACACCCCCCCACCGTACCCCCAGACCTTTTTGAATTTTATTTTTAGAGGGGTTCTCCCTAAATTGCTGAGGCTGACCTGGGACTTTTTAAGTCCTTCTTATAAAATATCACCACATGGATCCCTCTTGCTGCTTTTTAACTGTCATGCCTCAGTCTCCCAAGCAGCTGGGATTACAGGTGTGCACCACTGTGCCCAGTTGAAATTAAATTTCTTTAAGGAAGCTTTATAATCCTATGACAGTTGCCACTGGTAAGGTAATTATAAATATTGTGAAAAGAAAATAATGTTATTAGACAGCATTGCTTGCTGAAGGCTCTGACCTCAATGTTATTTTAAAAAGAGATTGGTATTGGGGTGATGACTGCTCTGGAGGTTGCGGCAGGAGGATTGAAAGTTCAAGGCTAGGGGCTGGGGATGTGGCTCAAGCGGTAGCGCGCTTGCCTGGCATGCGTGCAGCCCGGTTCGATCCTCAACACCACATACAGACAAAGATGTTGTGTCCGCCGAGAACTAAAAAGTAAATATTAAAATTCTCTCTCTCTCAAAAAAAATAAATAAAAAAAAGAAAGTTCAAGGCTCTACTCAGCAATTTAGTGAGATCCTGTCTCGAAAAAGAATGGGGAATGTAGCTCAGTGGTACAGTGTCTCTGGTTCAATCCCTAGTTACCACCCCCCCCCCAAAAAAAAAGGAAAGAAAAAGGAGATATTGGTTAGATGGTTGAGAAGTCTCTGTTAGGATTTGTTTTTACACTAATTAAACAGATTACAAAGCTTGTTGCTGTTTGATGGAAACTGGCAAAAGATATGAGACTTCTGGGTCAGAGAAAAGACTACAAGTAGCATAGCAAGCATCATGTCATGTTGGTTGCTCTTCTCCATCCTACAGGGGTTCCAAGAAGGGATAGTGCTAGATGAATCGCATATTCTGTGGGTTTGTATGGTGATTAAAGAATACTTAAGAGAATCACCTCAATCAATCACCTCAATCAAAGCTGACAAATAAATAAACCTACTCTCTGTGCTGGAAGGAAACATTATCTCATTCCTCAGGGTGGCTTGCTGCAAACACAATGCTGAGAAATGGCCTGAATGAAGAGTGGTCAGAACCTTGCATTCTTGGCAAACTCAACCAGAATATGCTGAGCTTGTTTTGCCTCTTCCAGCAGTGCTAAAGACTATGGCTTGTTTTGAAATAACTACAAGGAATGGAGAAAATTTGCAAAAAGAGGAATGCTCTTGTCTTCTGATTCAGTTTTTTAAAAACTTTTTATTTTGAAGTTATTATAGATTCACAAGCAGTTGTAAGAAATAATATAGAGATCCTGTATACATTTCACAGTTTTCTCCAGTGTTAACATATTAGAAAACTATAGTGCTAGGATATGGACCATGACAGTCAAAATACAGAACATTTTATCACCACATGGATCCCTTTTGCTGCTCTTTAACCTCTGTGCCCTACCTAACTCCTGGCAACCACTTCTCCATTTCTATAATTTTGTCATTTTAGGAATGCTGTGTGATTGGAACCATACACTGTGTAACCTTTTGGGCTTGGCTCTTTTTCACTCAGCATAATTCTCTAGAGACTCATCCAGGTTGTTGCATATATCACTAGTTCATTCCTTTTTTTTTTTTTTTTAAATGGCTAAGTAGTATTCCACAGTTTACTCATTGAATGGCATTTGAGTTGTTTCTAGTTTTGGCTGTTGAGAATAAAGCTATTATAAATATTCATGTATAGGTTTTTGGGTGAACTTAATTTTTCATTTTTTTGGGGGGTAAATGCCTAGGAGTACAAAGGTTGGGTTTGTAATAGTTGCATGTTTTGTTTTATATGAAACTGCCAAGCTGTACTATTTCACATTCCCATCAGTAGTGTTAACTTATTGGGCTGATCATCCTGCTACCTCTTAAAATAATTTACATTTCACACTTTTGAAATACTGGATTATAGGATCAGAGTTTCTCAAACTTGACAGCACTGGATGGCATATTGGGTCAGATAATTCTTTTTGGTTGGGGGATATCTTTTTTTTTTTTTTTTGGTACCAAAGGATTGAACATAGGGGCATGTGACCACTGAGCCACATCCCCAGCCCTATTTTGTATTTTATTTAGAGATAAGATCTCTAAATAATATTATTTAGTGCCTCGATTTTGCTGAGGCTGGCTTTGAACTCATGATCCTCCTGCCTCAACCTCCTGAGCCACTGGGATTACAGGCATGCGCCACTGTGCTCCACTTGCAGGGGATATCTTGTGCTTTATAGGATGTTTAACAGCATCCCTGGCCTGTAGCCACTGTGTGCAAGTAGCCTATTCTCCCTGTGCCCAGTGGTGACAATCAAAAATTTCTCTAGTCATGTTAAATATGCCCTGGGAGGCAAAATTGCCCCTTGTTAGCTAGATAGAGGGCAGGAAATAATATAGAGATCCTGTATATGGGTAAAGTTGATAAGATTTGTTGGAGCCAGTTTTTTGTTTTTTTTTTTTTTGGTATTGGGGCTTGAAGTCAGGGGCACTTGATCACATCCCCAGCCCTATTTTGTATTTATTTAGAGCCAAGGTCTCACTGAGTGGCTTAGTACCTTGCTTTTGCTGAGACTGGTTTTGAACTCACAATCCTTCTGCTTCAGCCTCCTGAGCCTCTGGGATTGAAGGGTATTTTTAATGGTGTGCTCAGAGGATTGACCGTAGAAGGCTCCTGAGTTGAGTTGTGATGAGATGAGAGTTCTTTAGGAAAAATAGTCTGGCAATAGGATTAAGGGTGGAGTGAAAATGATGAGTTTGGAGGCCTAGAGATCCTTAACGTATAGTAGTACAAGCAGGGCTAAAAGGACTTGAGTGAAAATAGTGGGAATGGCTAAAGCCTCAGTCTTTATTGAAATTGGTGTGAATTGTATTTTTCTGATTTACTTTTGGTTTTTCCTTCCAGTACTGGGGATTGAATCCAGGGGTGCTCTGTTACTGAGCTATACCCTGAACCCCTTTTATTTTCAGTTAGAATCTCTCAAATTACTGAGGCTGTCGTTGAACTTTCTCCATCTTCCTGCCTCAGCCTCTTGAGCAGCTGTGATTGTAGTTGTGTGCCACCATGCCCAGCAAAAGCACTATTCTATAACAGAGAACAGAGAATTCAAATTAGGAATATTCTGGATCTGTTCACTAGTCCGTGAGTAATTGAATATTATTTATATACTACAGATTACATTGAAAATTTCACAGGTATTTAATTTACTTTGTTAACATTTTATGGCTTAAAATTTTTTTTTTAATTTGTAGATGGACCCAATACCATTTATTTATTTATTTATATGTGGTGCTGAGGATTGAACCCAGTGCCTTACATGTGCTGGGCAAGCGCTCTACTACTGACCACAACCCTGACACCTGTATATGTCTTATTTAAGTATTCAAAACTTAAAAAGCTGCCAGTTCTGTGAAGTAAACTTTTTATTTTTGATGGAATTATGAATTGGTACAATAATTTTTGAAAGTAATATGATAATACAATAAGTCAGAATGATATTACTTCTAGACATTTATCCTAAAGAAGTTACATACACAGAAATGTTCATTGTAACATTTAATAACAAAGAGTTTAGAAATAAATGTATGGCATCTATAAGAGGAAATGTTATATAGACTTTAAAAAATTTGGAGTCCAGCACTCTATTGGCACACACTGTAGTCCCAGCTACTTGAGAGGCTGAGGCAGAAGGATCACTTGAGCCCATAAGTTTGAGGTCATGCTGGGCACATAGACTCCATTTGTAAATAATTAAATAGATAGATAGGTAGGTAGATAGATAAATAAATGGAAATAAGCAAGACAATTGATTTACCAAGTGAGAATTGCTATATATAATATCAAATGTAACCTTGTAAAGTCAAAATTATTAAACAGTGAGATGATGAGAATGAATTTTGAGTGATTTTAATTTTTTAATATTTATATCCTCTGATTTATATGTATTTAGCTCTGAAGATGAAGTGGATGTGCTTTTACATGGAACTCCAGACCAAAAACGAAAACTCATCAGAGAATGTCTTACTGGAGAAAGTGAGTCATCTAGTGAAGATGAATTTGAAAAAGAAATGGAAGCTGAATTGAATTCTACTATAAAAACAATGGAGGACAAATTATCTTCTCTAGGAACAGGTACGCTTTATTTACTTATTTATGTATTTATGTATTATGTATCTCATGCGGTGCTGAGAATCAAACCCAGGGCCTCGAACATGCTAGGCAAGCACTCTACTGCTGAGCCACAACCCCAGCCCTGGAACAGATATGCTTTTGATTCGATTTTTATACCTATTTTTATAAGCTCCATAGGACAGGAAGCTTACTCATGCTCTGTGTCTCCAGAACTTTCTATAGGTGCACAATAAATTCTAACTGGGTGAAGGAATTATGTTTGGCAACTGAACCAGAGTTTTCTTTGATGACTATGGGAAAATGTCATGCGTTGTCGAAAAGACACTATTTAGCATTATTTATTTGGATAATTTCCTTTTGTAGTTTTTACTCAAGGATAAAAAGAAAGACACATGAGTCTTATAGTTATTTTGGACATTAGATGTTACTGATGGCAGATTTATTGATGTATCATCATAAATTCCTATTTTAGTAAGTAATAAAACATTGGTCTTTTTGTAAAATGTACCTCACCCAAAATCTAATTTGTGAAAGTAGGACTCTTGTGCACTGGTTTTCATGTTGATATATTGGTATATTATGTATTAACTGGTAAGAACTGAAAGCATATAATAATAATAATAATAATAACAACAACAACAACTAAAGCAAGTGTTTATTAGAGGAAGAATGAGGGAGACAGGCATGTGATGACATAAGTATAGGTAATAGTATGGAACTGAGTTCAGTTGAAGAGAGGAAGAGTTTGTCTTCCTCATTCCCTTGCCTTTCCTTAGAGCTTTTCTTTCCATTAAGCTCCCTTAAAAAAAGATACTCATTCCCTGTTCTTCACAGTGCACTACCTGTCTGAAAGATAGAAATTTGTATATGGGCAACCTGAAAAGGTGGCCTTTAAAAAAAAATTTAAAAAAAATTTTTTTTAGTTATTGATAGACCTTTATTTTATTTATTTATTTATATGTGGTGCTGAGAATTGAACCCAGTGCCTCATACATGCCAGGCAAGAGTGCTACCGCTAAACTCCAGCCCCAGACCCTTAAAAATTTAATTAGATTTTTGGGAAGGAAAAAAGATTTAGAACACTAAATTAAGGTGGGGGGGCAGTTTTCTGTAATTGCATAGGGCATAAAATAAAATGTCACTATGTGAAAATATTTAACCATCCAAATAAGATTGTGAATAAGTTGATATTACTTTGTGGTAATGGAAGAAGATGTGGAAGTTTTTTCTTATGAATTATGTATGATTAGTCTATAAACTTCATTTCTGATTTTCATAGGGTCTTCTTCAGGAAATAATAAAGTTGGAATAGCTCCGGCAAAGTATTATGATGATATATATTTTGATTCAGATTCTGAGGATGAAGACAAAGCAGGTAAATAACGTATCTATCAGCCTTAGCAGTAATATTTTATGAAAAAGGTTTACCTCACTAGTTGATATTAGGATTTTTCTTTGAGTTTTATTTTTTAAGAAATATCAGGTGGTAGATGTGAAAATAAAACCAGATTGATTAGTAATAAAAGCTGGGAACAAAGACTTATGAGTACATGGCATTATCAGCAGCACTGCATGGGTATGCTAGGGAAGGGGAGAATGTGTCCTGACTTAGTACTTCCCCTGCTCAGGGCTCAGGGATCTTTCCCCAGACTCCTTCTAGTTCCTTCAGACTAGTAACATTTGTTTTCTTTTTATACCTTTTTTTTTTTTTGGTATTGAGGATTGAACCCAGGGGTACTTAACCACTGAGCCACATCCTTAGTCCTTTCTTTGTGTGTGTTTTATTTAGAGACAAGGTCTCACTGAGTTGCTTAGTGCCTTGCTTTTGCTGAGGCTGGCTTTGAACTTGAGATCCTCCTGCCTTAGCCTCCAGAGCTTCTGGGATTACAGGCATGTGCCACTGTGCCCGGCTCAACATTTGTTTTCACACTTGCATTTTTTCTGTATTTTTACTTTCCTGAAGAATTTTTCCTAGCTTGTTGGAAAAGCTAATTACATAAGGAATTACACTGGAATATACAAAATAACAAATTTATATTTAAAAGGACGTTTTATACTTTTATATCATTACTTAAAATATTGGTGTGCTAGAATAAATTTAAAAAGTAATGTATGTGCTAGATATGGTGTCACATGCCTATAATTTCATCACTTGGGAGACTGAGGCAGAAGGATCACAAGGTCCAGGCTAGCTTGGACAATCTAGAGACCCCATCTCAAAATAAAATAAATTAAAAAAGGGCTGGGAGTGTAGCTCAGTTTTAGAACAAACCTGGGTTCAATCCCTAGTACTACAAAACAGAACAAACAGAAGTCTAATATATGTAGACAGCTCTGGGTTTTTTTCTTTCTTTCTTTTTTTGTAAATATTTATTTTTTAGTTGTAGTTGGACACAAT